CCCCAAAACCCCAAAACCCCATCGATATATTATATTGAAAATTAGAGGCTAGAGTGATAATAATTAATTAAAGAATTAATTTTTAGAACTCAAAGTTATTGAATTTATAATAATGAATTACTACAAATAATCTTATCTTACTTTACCAATTATCTTGCTCTGCATTTTACTGCATATCTCTTGTGCATTGGCATAGAAAACTTCACCTACAATTGATGCTGTCTCACCAAATAAGCAAAAAGCAACTATAAAATTTGTCATCACCCAAGGACTATTCGATTATGTCGAGGAAAGTATAGATCCGCAATTTATAATTCAGCTGATAGAAACATTTTAACAAAGAATTCCAGTTTTGATTGATCTTGGTGGACTTAAGCTTGATTTGAACATAACAGATACTAAACTATTAAGCGGAAATTTCTTTTCCAAAAATACATTTGTAATAACAAATGATAACTTTATATTCGATCTTAATAAATTTTCGGCAGCTCTAAACGTAAGTTATGAGTACCTGAGTGATCCACCAGTTTTCGCTGACTTTGGAAATCTGACTCTAAATCTTGAAAACTTAAGTTTCTATATTAAAACTACTTTGAACCAAACCAATCAAGATAACATAACGTTTATTGTGAACAATATCAGATCAGAGTTGGGTAAATTAGATATAAATATGGATGGAATATCTGATTTCAGCGATGTGCTTACATTTATGCTGAAGACTTCAACTTTTATGGGAGGCACTCTAGGAAAAGGTATCACATCCGGTGATGATTTCGAATTTAAATTCTTAAAACTTATCAATCAGGCAATAGGATTAGTTCCAGATTACATTGAACTTCCCCAGTTAGATGATAGCTATGTATTTTTGAATCTAACCTAAGGCATAAAATTCCAAAAAGATTAATTTATGGAAATACCTCTCTTTCTTGAGCTGCAAAGTATGAATTAAAGTCATCAATACATCCAGTAGAACAATGCTTCAATACCTGGCTACAAGTATTAAAATGGAGATGCCTTTTTAATCTACATAACTGAACAACTGATTGATAATTTAATGTAAGTTAAACAAGAGTTTTAATTCATCCTTTATAAAATTATTGAAAAACCTTTTAATTAATAATATCATTTAGAATATTTGCTCATCATTAAGGAATGCTTAACTTAGCTCCTGATACCTCTAATAAAGACAATTAACTCAAGGTATTTCCTATCTTCTTTTTAAGTTAATCTTTTATTAAATAACTCAATTCAGAGTAAATTATTAATGTTTATATTAGGTTGGGACATTGAATCTTGTATTTTTGAATGAGCTATCTGGCTTTAATACCAATGGTTTATGCACTTTTGGAATTATTTCCACTCCAGAAGAAGTTCCTTAACTTGACATAAGTAAAGGATTCATTACCTTCACAAGTCAAATTAAAGTAGATGTAATCTGCCAAAAAAATCCTAAAGTTGATGAGTACAGTCATGTTATTTTCCTCTACACAAGAATAAGTCTTACAATTAGTTTGTATGGTGACGGGAACAGTAAAATTTAGGGAAAAGCTAATCTTGCTCCGATCAGTATTACATAATTCAGTGATAGTTTGTTTGCTAGAAAGCCAAACACAAATGTCTTGAATAGTTTTGGCAAAATTCTTGAGCCGCTTATAAATCAGGTAGTTAATAGTATATTGCAAAAAGGAATAGATTTGAATACAATAATCACTGCCTCTCTTGGTACATCAGTCTTTCAAGTACAGCAGTTAAAAATTGAAATATATTAGGAGTATGTGATGCTTAATATAAAGCCTAAGTTCAATGTTGTATCAAACACTGAAATAATTAAGTTGCAAAGTAAAAAGTAAATGCGATAAATGTATGTTGATCTAAGAAAATACACTAAGGTCAATGAAGATGGAATAATTGAGAAAGACGAAATGTGATGTGATATTTGAAAATTGATAAGTAAAATATAATTATATACCAGAAATGAATCTAACATTAGGCAAGTTATATCCCCAATTACAAGCTTTATATTGTTAAATTTCAATTAGAATTAATATATACCTTACTAATACTCTTTTGAATTAAGTCTTAACGGGGTTTTGGGGTTTTGGGG